CTGCCCCAGTCTTGCCCTTTTTTGGGGGAGCGGGGCAGGGAGGTGGAGATGTTGAAGGGAGGGGGGTGGTGGGGGTGGTTATTATGTATCTTCAAGATGCAACCTGACCATAGCTGACTCACCAGCAGCAGTTAATTACATGACAGAAAATTGCACATCTTTCTTCTACTAAGTAGTTGGTGGATTCAAACATACCTTTGGGTTGCTAGCACAACTCTTTACCACTAGACCACCAGAGATCCCTGTTCGGGATGATAAAAAAGTTTTTAAACCACGCCTAGTTTTGCTGTATAAATATACTCACAATTTTTCATTATGTGGTGATACTACTGTACCTGTGATATTGGTCAGGATAACAGAAACTTGATTAAATCGAATGGCCACTTCCTAATAATTTAGAAGTTACAAGCATAAATTATTTGTGCCACACCACTTAGAACGTCATATAGAAGTGGTCATCTGTAAAATCAAATTGATCATGCGTGAGCCCCAGTATTCTGTTTTTGCTTCAAAGGGCAAAATAGCTTCTCTAGTCAGTTGCCTCATATGCATGTGAAAATTAGATTAAGAGTAAGGAAGACTGAAAAAGAATTGGTGCCTTGACTTGTGTTGGGAAAGATTGTGGAATGTGCCAGGAACTTTGAAAAGGAGAAACTTACCTACTAAGAAAACACCAAACATGCCATTGATATCTGTTATTAATAAATGGTGATGTGAAAAGAAAGACTAAGGACTAGTAGTCAGATATTGCAGGCTGCGTGATGGAAATTTTTTTTAATCAATTATCTATTCATTGCAAATACCTTTTTACCTTTTTAGAAATCCACACACAAATGGCAACTATACACATGGACCTCTCCTGATGGACTACACAGGAATCAGATTGACTCAGTCTGTGGAAAGAATCACTGGAGAAGCTCAATATGAGCAGTCAAAACCAGGACAGGTGCTGACTGAGGGGAAAACCAATTACTCATGTGCAAGTTAAAATTGAAGCTGAAGAAAATTAGAAGAAGTTCATAAGAAGCAAAATAAGGCCATAAGCATAACTTAATTTAAAAAAATATCTCAAGATCAAGTTTCAGGTATTGAACACTAATTATCAGATAAGCTGTGGGATGATATGAATGATATCATCATGAAAAAAGCAAGAAGTCATTACAAAGAAGAGGCACTGAAAATTGTACTATAAAGTTGAGAAGCACAACAAAGGGACGGAATGACCAAGTAAGAGATGAATACCCATCAACAAATGGATAGAAAAACTAACTATGGTACATTCACACAATGGAATATTACACACTAAAAATCAATGAACTTGTAAAACATTACACAGCATGAGGGAGCTTTGAGGACACTATGTTAAGTAAAATAGTCAGAAAGGACAAATACTGCATAAAACCACTGTCACATAATAGGCCAGACATGGGGGTTTGGGGAGAAAATGGGAAAAGAGTGGATAGATAATGAACAGTACAATAGAACAGATGAGGGCAAGAACTGTCTAAAAATTATATACAATTAGGCATGATATGTATGGCAACAATCTGGAACAAGGAGTGTGTTGTGGACTGGGGTGGGGGAGGGGAGGGAGAAAATGTGCAACAATGAATAAACACACATCACCAGGGTGAAAAGATGAACAAATTTCAAAAAATATTTCAAGAAGACAAACTTACAATGAAATATGCAAAAAGTTAAAAGTCAAAAAGAAAGAGTCCACCTGGCATTTCTCAAGTTGAAAGAACAGAAAAACAAATTTAAGGCTCAAGTTGCAATACTGAAGAATGCTATAGGCAAAATCTGGAATGATCCAGGAAACATCAAAAGAAGACTTTGTGAAGACATAAAGTCACTGCACCAAAAAGAATTCATTGACATGAAACCACTTGAGGAAGTAGCATAATGGTAAGGATGGGAGAAGTTTAGGATGCACTAAAAGCATTGGAAAGAATAAGAACCCAAGAATGAATAGGGTGCCAGATAACATGTTTCAATAAACAGATGAAGTCCTAGACGTGCTCACTAGTCTTTGTCAAGAAATTCAAAAGATAGCTATGTGGCCAATTGACTGGAAGAGACTAATATTTGGTCCCACTCCCAAAGAAAGGTAGATCCAGCAGAATGTGGAAATTATCAGACAATATCACTAATACTACATTCAAGTAAAATCTGGCTGAAGATCATAAAAAAAAAAAGTAGAACAGTGCATTAACATAACTGCCCGTAATTCAAGGTGCATTTAGAAGAGACCGTGGCACCAGTGACATCATTACATCATTGCTGATATCAGATGGATCTTAGCTAAAAGCAGAGAATACTAGGAGGATGTACATCAGTGTTTTATTGACTATCAAAGGTATTTCACAGCGTGGGTCACAAATTATGGAAGAATGGGAATCCCAGAACACTTAATTGTGCTCATGTGAAACTTATACCTTGACCCAGGAGCTGTTGCCAACTGAGCTAGTGTTTCAAACCAAGAAAGGTGTGCATCAGGGCTATACCATTTCTCCACACCCATTCAGTCTGTATGTTCAGCAAAGCATTAAAGGAGATGGGCTTTGTGAAGAGGCATGTAGCCTTGGGACTGGAGAAAGTCTCATCAACGACATATATTATGCAGATGACACATCCTTGCTTACAGAAATTGGGGGAGGGGGAGTAAATGAAACACTTTCTGCAGGAAAACATCTCAACATCAAGAAAATAAAAATCTTTACCACTGGGCCAATAGGGAACATCATGATAGATGGAGAAAAAAGGTGAAATTATCAATTACTTCATCTTGCTTGGATCCACAATCAACATCCTTGGTACCAGTAGTCAAGAAATAAAAATATGTGTTACACTGGGAAAATATGCTGTCCAAGGTATTAAGGAGCAACAATGTCATTTTTAAGACTTAAAAATTTTTATTGGTCATTTCAGTTGCTTCCTATCTGAAAGATGGATGACAACTAAAGATGACAGAAGAAGAATCGATGCCTTTAAGTTGTCATATTGGAGAAGAGTACAGAATATCCCCTGGACTGCCAAAAGAACAAATAAATACGTTCTGAAGGACTAGAGTGCTCATTGGTAAAATTTATCTCACATACTTCAGGCATGGTGTCAGGAGGGGCCACCCTATGAACTTCATTCTGAGAGAGGGGAAGGGTCAGGGAAAGACAAGAGGAACCTCAATAACCTCGGTTGACACAGTGACTGTTAAAATGGGCTCAGATATATCAGAGATGGTGAGGATGGCCAAGGAGAAGGCAAAATTGAGATCTGTTGCTCATACAGTCGCTATGATGTGTGGTTGATTCGATAGCACCTAACCACATCATCTAGGAAGAAGTGCTGACAGGGCGCTCCTTTGAAGCATGAAGCAAGGATGGCATGCCTTCGTGTCACCACTTAGGGTATGTCATCGGGAGGGCCAGTCCCTGGAGAAAACCATCATGTTCTGTCAAGCAGAGGGTGAGCAAAAAAGAGAATCCTTAACAAGATGGATTGACTCAGTGGCTGCAACAGCCGTCTCATGCCAGCAGCACAGCAGAGAATGTAAGGGAGCTTTGGGTCATACAGCCCTTCCTTCCGTTGTATACAGTGTTGCTGTGAGTTGGAAACAACTCATCAGCCCCTAACACCACCAAGAGTCTACTCCTCTCACCTGCTCATACGCAGTGCAATGCAAAAGCACTGAAGGTGGGACCAGAAGGTGCGGAGTTTATTACATGCTCAGGGCCTAGTTTCCGTAGTTAAAGTGGAGGATATGTCAGGTGAGATTGGAAGAGCATGGATAGTTAATAAACCCTGCATTAAATCGGATGAAGGGAAGAACTGTCTGAAAGGAATATGAGATTAGGCTTTATGTATATGACAACAATCTGGAAGAAGGGGTGCATTGTGGGGACAGCTGATGGGAAAAGAGATGGGGGAAGAAAATACGCAGTGATGGAAAAAAATAAAATATTAAAAAAAGTGGAGGATATGAGGATTTGGAAAGACAGGGTAATGGTGAGCATATTTCAATGGTGATCAATTTTCTAAAATATAATGAATCAGAGTGATTGTATGAAACACTATGTGAATGAAAGAGAGTGAGAAATACAATGTATATGAATTTTATATGCAAACCAAAACAGGATAACTTTTAAAAATAAAAAAGTGGAAGATATAATATCTACTTTCCAGGATTGTTATGAACATTAATCAGAAGACACACACATCTAGTATAATGCTTAACACTAATCTTTATAGAAAGTAAATGGTGCCATTCTCTCTGGCCAAAAGCTGTCTGGCCAGAGAATGTGGGGTCACATGAACCTGTCTTCCACTGTCTCCCTGCCATGCCATTTGGTAAGGGAAATAAGATCAGTCAGGTAAAAACTGTTAATTCTAGACTTTGGTTCCAAACCTCCATGTATACCACTGTTCTGGTGAACATGCGTAGTCAGTCCATGGCTAGGAGCAGTAGTAGACCAGGACTCCTGAGAGGACTCAATTCTTTTTGGCTTTTCTCAAGCCCCAGTTGATTTTCTAATGGATTGCAGACAATCTGGGAAAAGAACTTCTTTCTAAGTGGGGGAAAGCCTTGACCCCATTTTATTTATGTAGAAACATAAGTAAATGATACTATTTTAATCCCATAAGAAACTGGCTTTGACCAATGTATCGCTGTTTTCTCCATTATGGATGCAAGGTAGAAGTGGAGACCCACTAGGTTCGGTTGACACATCTCATCCCCCTTGCCATCCATTTCCTGTAAAAACACTTGTAAGCCTTTTTTTGTGGGTTTACAGTATCCACATCAGAATTCAGAAACAGACTGAGCATCATATGACTTTGTTCACAACATGACACTTTATTAGGAAACCTGTGCACTGGGAGTGAGAACTGAAATTCTCACAATTTACAGACAGTAAATAGGTTACAAGTTATCGTGTAAGAATTAGGATTAAATCTTGCCAATCTTGTCTCAATGTGTTTAAATCTTCTTCCCAGTTTCCTCTTCAAGTAGACTTTCCTGGAAAAGATTTTGAATACCCAGTTTCCTCTTCAATTAGACTTTCCTGGAAAAGATTTTGAATAACAGCTGCGTCAAGGGCGATTTAACTAGTGATTTTTCATTACATTTTCACTCTTAAAGTATCTATATAAGATGCAAAGATCTGCTTGGTTTAGGCATCAGAAAATTCTAGAGAGATGACAGTTTAATTTCCATTGTTTTATGAAGATAAACTCTGTTAGCAGTTGGAGTAGAGAAGGTAGGAAAGGAGTGGTTAATTGTGGTCAAAAATCATAACTGACTCACAGCTGACTCTCCACTGAGCTTGCTTTCAGAGGCTGTAAATGTCATGAGAAACTATTGTTCTCCCTCCTCCTGAGGAGTAGCTAGTGGATTTGAACCTCTGCCTTTGGGTTGGCAGTGCAATTCCTTACTCACTAGACCACGAGGGCTTCCAAGGTAGGAAGAGGCTCTGCTTAATTAGTTTACTATATTAACCCAGCCTTTGCTTCAATTTTGTCCTTAAATATCATGCTTGAGAAGTTCACTGCTTGCCATTATTTCGGTCATACAATGAATGAGGATTAGAGAAGGAAAGAAAAGAAATATGTCTGTTCACTTTTTATTTGTTCTGGGAATATGAGAGTTGAAGTCATTGGTGAGAGCAAACATTGTAACATATCTTTATATATGGTTTATTCAGTATTGTTATTTTCCATTTTCATTGGTCAATTCTAATTTTTGGAAGCTATTTGGAGACAGTGATATTGCTGTCAGAGAACTAAGAATCAAACCTGTGGCTCTGAATGATCATCTACTTTGGACTTAATTCCCAAAGGCTTCTTAGAAGTGGCGTCACACCACAAACAGCTGAACAATTGAGTGGAGGGATATAGATTGCTATACATCGCAGGCGACTCAACGGCACATGGCATAACATACTATGACAGGTTTGGAAGCAGGAGTGGCATCCACTTCCTAAACAACATGCCTCCGGAAACTCTATGAACTTTGATAAATGTCAATAGTTGTAGAGGGGCTTCAGGTCTTTTGTTCATAGGGTCGCCATGAGTAGTGTTCAACTTGAAGGCAATCAACAACAATGACATAGAAGAAGTGTTTGATTTGCACAGACATGAAAAACTGACAAATAGTAGTAGTAGGAAGAAATCTGTCAGCCATTCCAAAGATTAGAGCGGAAATTAGCAGATAAAGGTTACAGAAAGAGATTTGATGAAGGGAGGGAGGGTGGTTAAGAGCTGTTGGGAATACCAGTGTTGTTTAACCATAGAATCACAGGAGTTAGGCGGGTGGGTACTACAGTGGATGGGAGGAGGCCATCCCAAGTGGAACCTCAGGGTCTTCTTTCCATCTCTGGGAATGTATATTATTATTATCATCATCATCATGGAGACTCACCAGAGCTCCCTTCAGGTCGCTGAGGGGAGAACGCAGCTGGCGAATGGTGCATTCAAAGCGCTGTGGCTCTTTCAGTTGATCAGCTTCTTTGGCTATCTGAAGAAAAAGAATGTGATTCTTAGAAATAAAGAAATGAAATAGTATTTTCCAAAGAGGTTAAATGAGAAACACCACTTCTTCCCCTCAATTTCTGCACGGAGGGGAAGGAACTGTAAATGGCCCAAAGAAAGTGAGGTCAAGGGTGCTGTGTGACTAGGTGGTGTCCCTCTGGTCTGGGAAAGGTGTGAGACACAGGGAACTTCAAGGATGCAGGTCCACAGTCATTTTCAGATGAATGTGGAATTCTGCTCATAGTGGAGACAGTAAACAATAATAATCTTTTCCTCTATAGATGATGACAAAGTAGTACCCTGGGCATCATGAGAGGTGGTATCACTGTGATTAAAATGGCTCAGCTGTTAACCAAAACATTGGTTTCAACCACACCAGCAGCCAGTGGGAGAGAGATCTGCAGCTTTAGAAACGCAGCGGGGCAGTTCTGCTCTGCCTCGCAGAGTCGAAATCAACTCACTGTAGAGGAGCTGTTGTTGTTTCTAATGAGGAGCCTTGGTGGCACAGTGTTTAGGCACTTGGCAGATAAAGATGTGGGCTTCTCCTTGAATAAAGGTCGCAGCCTCGGGAACTATGTGGGCACCTCTATACTGCTGGGAATCAGAGTTGACTCCGCTAGTACAGGTTTGTTGTTGTATCTTAGGTTTTAGTTATTAATAGAGTTTCTTTTAATTTTTACAAAATATTTTCCATTTAAATGGAAGCTACTTCATATGATCTGTAAAAATATTTCTGGTTCTAGCACATCTTTATTTAGTACTGTATTATATTTTTTTTCCTCCAAAAAAAAAAAAAAAGATCATGAGGATGAAATTGTTTCAGTTCCTCTAGCTATTTTTTTTTTATTTTTAAAATTTTACATACAAAGTTCATAAGGTTCATATACATTGTTTTTCACACGTGCTCTTTCTCACCCTCAAGTCCATCTGGACTCATGGTGACCCTCTGTTGGGAAACCCAAGACTGTAAATATTTCTTTTTTCTCATTGCTGTGGAGTTTAATCCAACTCACAAGAATTGTTTAGAGTAGGACTGCTGAAAGAGGTTATAATTCATTCCCATTATATTTCATATGATATATATACATTGTGGATTTTTTCTTTTTTTAATACAATTTTTTATTTTAATTGTGATTTTGATGAACATTTACAGAAAAGTTAGATTTTCATTCATTCATTGTTGCACATTTTACCCCCCCTTTCCTTTCACCCTCCCCCAGTTCACTTTTATTAAAAAAAAAATTCATTCACTGTTGCACAATTACTTCCCCTGACCCACATCAGTCTTCTTTGCAATGTACCCCTTATCCTGGCCTGTTCTACATATAATGCCTAATCATATATTCCTTTTTTTAACAGTTCTTTCCTTCATCTTTTCCAATTTAAAGTTCATTATCTATCTACTCTTATCCTATTCTCCTCCCAACCCCCCATATACATTGTGGTTTTTTTTGGTGGTTTTTTAAAATTATTATTAATTTCAATGAACATCTACAGAGATTTTGGAATTCCATTCATTCATTGTTGCACTTTTCTCCCCACCCACCCCACCGCCACCCCCAGTTCGCTCCTCTCCTTGAAAAGCAAAAGCAAAACTCTTTCATTGTTACATAATCCCCTCCCCGCACACCCCCACCCCCACCTCCACCCCAAGTATACTCCACTCTGCAACCCTCATTCCGAACTCTTATGATAATCATAATGCCCTAAAATATATTACTTTTAAACTATTCTCTCCCTCATACATTGTGTTTTATAAAATTAGTCACCATTTGATCTATGCCTACTATTACCAGTCTTCTCAGGTCCCCACTGGATCTTTCCTAAATCCATAGCATTTTTAAGGCTGGATATTTTCCTTAAAAAGCTGCTCACAAGGCCTTTTGCCACTGCTTCTCAGCTGGATTCGACTCGCCACCCTTTCCTATAGCACTCAGTGCTTACCCATTTACACCACCTAGGGACTCTTGTGCTGGGATCATAATCTAATCCATAAAAAGTAAAACCCTGCTTGTTTCCCACTATACTTTGTCTTCTTGAAATTAAAATCTCCTGTCATGATCTTCAAAGTCTTTACTTAAATGTTCTTAATTTCGTTAAGAAAAAGATACTGCCTGCACTTTTAGTAAGCATGTTTATTTTAAAATGATAAAGATGTACTACGAGCCCGGTATCACAGACATTTTTAAGATAAGAATCAAGAAGTGTAAGCAGGAGTGACATTTTCTTTCCAAACCCAATGACTCCTCTGCTTCTCATCTGTATATTCTTTATAGTCATTGCGAGGCACGCTGTCCTCCTCTTGTTACTATAACCCGTTGGAATTTATTCCCGCTCTTTGTTTCACTAGATTCTTTCTGAACTGAGGGGCTGTTGTTAATTGGGTGTCACCAGGTCAGCTGCAACTCACAGCAAAGTGATCCTATGAAGAGGGCTGAACCGTCCCAATCCCAACGTCGATGCTAGCTAAAGATTGTGAATATTTAGCCTGTTTAAACAAATTGAATTTAGTATCTCAGGTTTATTTTAGAGCTGATAGCAGCTTACCTCTTGGAAGGAATCAATCACGTTTTCAGCGTTTCTCTTTCCCCCAGGGCGCAGGCCGTAGGACCAGTGTTGGCCTGCGGATCCCATCACACATAATGTCAGCAGGGTGAGTCCAGCTAGCAGCTTGATGATCGGCTCCATTCTAAGGAACATCATCAGCACGCAATCAAAATAGACCCAGACTTGGATGAGTCAAAAGCCAAAGACCCTTGAAGAGAAAGTAACACCCCCCCCACACACACAATGTGTGTTTTCCTAGCCCTGCAGGTGCTGGAATCATTCCAGTTTTCAGATAAGGTCTATGAAACACAGAGACAGTCACTTGCATGTGTTGAATTCCCTAGCTATTTTAGAAACAAACCCAGGATTTAAAATTCATGCATTTCAGTATTACTGGCACTTCTAGGTGTGTGTTTATTGTTGTTATGTTCTGCCGATTTAGAGCTGACCCATAGCTGACTCTCCAGCGAGTTCTCAGAGACAGTAAATCACACAGGATGAAATTATTTATCTTTCTCCCACAGAGAAACTGGTGGATTCAAACTGTTTACCTTTGGGATTGCCGCACAGTTTCTTACCACCAGGCCACCAGAGCTCCTTAGATGTGTTTAGTCAATACCAAAAAAAATCTGGCTTGAAACAAAAATAGTTTGACTTTCACTGACAATTCTTCAATGTTTTACAAAATTTTGTATGTTAAATTCTTGTTACCAAACAGAAATAGAATGAGAGTGCAATCAGTCAGCAAAGGAGAGAAAGTATCTCATGCTTAAAGTATCTTCTAAATATTTAGGCTATTTTCCTCCCCCAGGGGTTGAGGGATGAAGTGTTTCAATTAACCTCTTTGGAATGTAGAATTTATTTAAAGACAGTGTAAAACAAAGAGACTTTAGAAAATGTATATTCTGAAAAGAAAAAATAAATTAAAAACTAACGTCTTCCAAATCATACTCAGTGATTCATCCCTTATCAAGTTCACCTTTTTGCCTTAACATTTCCCCTTCTGTGTGTTGGTTTTCAACTGTATCATTCCTGAGTGAGCCATCTGCTTTGAAAAGTGGCTCCTGCTAGGAATCTCTGGCTAATATAAAGTTACTTGACATTAAATGGCTACACGGCAGTGCTAATTACATTCTGCTGAATGTCTGTCCTCCAGTCTTCCAAGCACTACTGCTGACTGGACCATCTGTGAGCGCGAGAGAAGATTCAGCCCTGTTCAAAGCATGAAGTCCCAGACCAGATGCCTCCCTGGCCAAGAGGCCTCTAATTATCTAATGAAATGTGGGATTCCCACAAAGAATCTTCAAATTCATTTTCGTTTGATGGGGGGAAGCTAAAGACAAAAAAAAATCAAATATTGGTCAGTGAGAGGTTGTAGTTCCCCAAAGGCTGGCTCTCTGTGGCTAGTGGTGACAAGGACGTAGAAGGACAAGGTTGCTTTATATACCATCACACCTGGATTTAGCCCTTGGGGCGAAAAAAAAATGTGCCATAGAAATCAAAGGGCATGCAATAAAAAAAGGAAAAAGAAAACAGGAGAAAGTGCTAGAAATACAAAGCGTTTTACCTGTTTGCAGATAAAGGGCCAAAAGAATCCCCTGCTTCCTTTGGGTGTATCTGGTATTTTACATTCATTCCCCTCCATTCCTTTTTATAGGAAACTCTCTAGGATATTGCCGTTTTTCCTGCTGGTAAATCATATTGTACATGGACTATGGCTTTTTCGAATAGTAATTTTTTAAATCCTCACATAAAACCCTTTAATGGTGCCTGTAATTGGAACATTCCCTGGTGTATCTGTTAAATTCACTTAAGCCTAGCCATTAAAACTTCAGCTAAGACTTTTATAGCTGATGCTACAATTCAAAGAGATTAAAATTTAGCTAGTTTGGCTTCCCTTGAGGAAATTAGGAGACCTATCAAGAGTTTAAGGAAAATAGATGTCTTAGATTAAGTGAGATTAAATGCACACATACAAACTTTCATCTGGGAGGCCACGTAATGCCTGGAGAAAGATGTTGACTTGGGATACCTAAGAGCTGGCCCCAGCTTAGATTTTTCAATTATGAAAAGATGCTTTGACTGGGTGATTATAGATTTGTTTCCAATTTTTAAAATATGATTTATCAATAATTATGGGCAATGTGGCCTAGTGGCAAAAGCTTCATGCCCAGCAAAAGGCACAGGGTTTGAATCCACCAGTTGCCCCGCAGGAGATAGATGAGCAAACTCCCATGTAGTTTAATTTACGGCCTCTGAAAACACACTGGAAGTTTCAATTATGAGTCAGTTCCCACTCGATGGTACAGAACAACAACATCAACCAATGCCCCTTGGTGGGGACTTGCATGTTGCTGTGGTGCTAAACAGGCTTTAATGGAGCTCACAGCCTCGCAGACAAGAAGAAAGGCCTGATGTCTTACTTCTAAAAATGAGTTTGCCACCAATCATGGAAATGATCTGGTAAAACTGAAACATACACAGTTCAAATCCACCAGCTGGAAGAAAGATTAGGAATCTCCTCCCACGTGATTTACTACCTCGGAAAACCTGCTGGAGGGTCAGCTACAGGTTGGTTCCATCTTGACAGTACTCAGCAACAAGAAGTTTTATATTTTGCTTCTTTTGTGTCCTCATTCATGGGGACCCTGCTGAAAGACTGCGGACAACAACCAAGCCTGTGTTGATGTGAACATGATGTCAACATGGTGGTGTTGAATAGGTTCCAATTAAATGCCTGAAGCACGTCAAAATGAGACCCCACTGCCTAATCCTGTGATTGCAGCCTGTGTGTCAGCCAAACTCACATGGGATTCAAAATAGTATGAGGTTTGAAAACTTCTTAATTGGCTATTCAGTTTTCCCTCCTTGACTTCTCTTGACTCTCCTGTGTTGTTGTGACTGAGTTGTCTCCAAGTCACAGCAACCCTGTGTACAATGAAGGAGACCAGGCCTGCACACTCCTCACATCCACCACCGTGCTCGACTGGACCTGTTGTTACAGCTACTGTGTCTGCCTATCTTGTTGAGTCTGCCTCTTCTTCACTGAGCCCCCACTTTGGACATGATCCCTCCTGAGAACATGCCCATAGCAAAAGAACAAAAAGGAGAGGACCCTAACTTCCAAAAATTAATAGACTACTTAAGAGTGGTGTACCCAAAAGGTCAGAGGTTAGAATCCGCCCAGTAGCACCCGAGGAGACAAGCCTGGCAATCTGCTTTTAAAAGGAAGACCCCCAAGGATGCCCATTATCTCCTCTCTTATTCAATATTGTATTGGAAGTCTTAGCGATAGCAGTAAGGCAAGAGAAAGACATTAGAGGTATACAAATTGGCAAAGAGGAAGTAAAATTATCCCTCTATGCAGATGACATGATAGTATAC